CTGAAAGTATATTCATTTTGCTACAAAACGTTTGCAATACCCAGAAGCAAGTATATATAATTTTGGTCAGTATAAAATTTTGAATGGATTTAAGCATGTTCCATCCATCTATCCATCTGTCTGTTTGCCTGTCTGGCCGTCTGTGTAATACACACGCAGGTTAACACCCTGCGGACCTCAAAAATGCACTCCTCGATTGGTGTTAAGAACGGGTTAAATCGGCCAATACACAAGCCCACAGAATATCTTCGTCTTCAATAGCAAAGCAAAAAATATTCACAAAGTGGCTCTGCTTTCGACTATTTCGCTTACTCGGTGGCAAGGCATAGATTTAACTCCCTCAACCACCAATATTATTGCAGACACCTGCAGTTTATTAAATCCTCCCTGTTTGCTAATCCTAAATACTTTTTTAAGTTCGTTAATTCCAAAAGAAAAATCTCCATAAATCCCTCACATTTTTCTTTTAATGGCTCTGTTGCCGATTGCTCTAATTCCGATTTATCAGCAAACTACCCATATCCTATAACTAATTTGGTTTCAATTCCGAATGTGTTATTTCTGAAAATGACTTTTTTGAAGGGTTGAGCTGTCTTAAATAATGTTGTGCGCCTGGACCTGATGGAATAACATCAGGTGTACTTAATTCTTGCGCTGTCGAGTTATGTGGCGTTGTCTCAGGTTGAGTGTCTTGCCTAAGCTGTTCGAGCGAATTGTGACCCAGCATTGGGCCTTTACCATTAATTCGTGTATTTCTCCACACCAGCATGGCTTTCGGAAGGGAAGATCTACGTTGAACAATCTGTTAGACTTTACTTGTCATGTGGTTCAAAGCTGTTTCTAGCGGCTCTCGCACTGATGTCATATACATTGATTTTAGCAAAGTGTTTGATTTGGTTAACCATAAATTACTTATCTCGAAACTCCAAGCCTTTGGCTTCCCTTTCTATATCGTGAAATTGTGAAGCTCTTAGCCGCACAATTGATCATTCAGGGTTTTGTTGGATGACGTGAAACTGTTTTTTGCCTTTTCCGTAGAATCGCAATCACATCAGCTTCAAAGTGACTTGGATAATTTGGTTACATGGTGCTCTTTGAATCTTCTGCAGCTAAATCTAAATAAACGTAAGAAGCTTTCTTTCTCGAAAACGAAGTCATTCATTACTCAGTATTTCATTGATTGGCACAAGTTGGAGGACGTCCATTCGTTCACAGATTTAGGCGTTCTATTTGACCATATGTTACGTTTTAACTTGCATATTCAGCTCTCGATTAGCAAAGCTAGGTCCGCGATTGGTTTTATAAAGAGGTGGTCCAAAGAGCTTGACGACGATTACAAAAAGGATGTACATGTGCTTGGTCAGACTTATGCTCAAATATGCCTCTGTTGTGTGGTCTTCTTCATAGAGCTGCCATGTAGCCTCAAATGAATCTGTTCAAAAGCAATTCTTACTGTTTGCCCTTAGCAATTTGAGTTGGGACCCGATTGCGTCTCTTCCCGCTGATAAAAATAGGTTGCTTCTATTACCCTTACCGTCACTTGAGAAACATAGATTTGTTCTTGGGGTTTCTTAATCAAAATAATAAATGGTACTATTCACTCGCCCGCATTACTTGGTGAGATAAGCTTTAATGTCCCTAATCGCTTTTCTGGGCACTTTATCTTGATTAAGCTTAGTCTACGTAAATACAATTAAGAGCTGTTTCATCCGCTCAGAGTGATCTAAATAAATAATGTATTACTTATTCTCATTATCGAACTCTTTTAAAGTCTATTAAAGCAACTTTACTTAATATGCGCGATTTACCTACCTATACTTAAAGTAACATTTGATACTTAATGTCTTTTTTTTTTAATTTAAAATAACATTGTGTTGTTAAGGTGTCGGTTGCCAAGCTTATGCATGTTTGCAATGGTTCAGGGGTTTACTTGCAACCTGGATCTGTTCTTGTTGCGGGTGCGCTTCTGTGCTAGCTGTGTACATGCTTTTTTATATTTTTTCTTTTTTAGTTTTTCTCTCTTTTTATTTATTTATACATGAATTATTATTTTTTAACTTTTTAATATATTTTTAACTTACTTTGTTATTATTATTTTTCTTTTTATCTTCCTTTTTATTGTATACTCGTTTTTAAAACAATTAGTATAAGGCTTTCTTTTAAGAATTCAACTGTAATTTTCTTTATTTGAATTTCATGTATAAATGGGTAAAAATAAAGATAAATAAAAAAATAAGCACTTTCTCATATATAACATTTTGTCAACGGAAGCAATTCATTAAACTTATGGTACTTTATGAGAACGAGATCGATAATAACAACGATTTAACAATCAAGACGATATTAAACTTGTCATCTTGTCTTTTAAATACATAGCCAGGTATTCCAGAACTTTTATTCGTGAATCCAAATCTACGACTTTCGCGAATGGCACAACTTTACGGCCTTTCAGTTTGTTGAACACTACGGTATATATTCGCGCAAACTTATCATATCCTTATCGCAAATGATTTAAGATGTAAGCATCCGAATTTGAAAATTGCTGCAAGATAAGAATATTCTCAGTCTTACGTGGTTTCGGCTGCCATTATTATGTATGAAAAAAATAGGTGGAACGTAAGAATGCGCAGCCCATTTGTTCGTTGTGTTTTCGTAACAAATCTAAAAACGCCTTGAGAAATTCACCACTTTTTCTTCGGTATGGGGACAACGAAATTGTATGCATTTAGCCGTTTTGCGAAATGTTATGATATTATACCTTTTGTTTCTAATTAATCCCTGCTTATTATTTAATCCTCTTTTAAATGATGTCCTTGAGGGGTATTGAAATATATAAATCGTTTCGTCATTTAAAGCTCCCCTATAAGTCCCCAAGTAACGGGTTTTCCTTAAAATGGCGAAAGATGTTTATACTTAGATTTGAAACAAAGCATTAAAAATGACTAGTAGGGGGAACGGAACCTACTCATGGCGGCAATACCTCCCTGCCAATGAATAAGTTAAGAAAGCACATCTGCAAATAATTTAATTACGTTTCTATTTACACTTAAGATGCGATCTTCTCCCGCTTGTTCATAACAGGCATGCACATACAGTTCCGATAACTATTTATGTAGTTTTTGATGTTTTTTTAATGCTTTCCTTTTCTAAGTTACTTAAGATAATGCAGACGAATTCAATTTAACTGCAGTTTATTGTGTATACATAAAAAATGAGTAGGATCTGAAAAAATAAATTCATTCATTGTTAGCTTCAACAATGCGACATATAATTGGTACGTCCTGTATCTTGGTAGGATTTGAAAAAGAATTGGAATCAATGCACTGCTTAATAATGCGGGATTTAAATTTCTGCCATTGGCATGTGCTTAGAAAATCGGTAAACAATGATTGACGCGACGGTATTGTTGAGTCTAAATAGAAACGTCGACGTTGCCAAATGTTGCCCGGATTTTGTGGTTTCTCCAAAAGCCAAAAACGTGGCATTAACAGACATTGTACTGTTGTGCGCGCCATAATCACTCGATGTTCTAATTTTTCACCTAAACCAAATATGCCACCAGACGTTAGAGAGCCAACATCAATAAAGTGATTCTCTTGAGTTGTTTTAACCTAAAAAGGAAACAACGTTAAAAAAATCACATAAAAATCGCATGTTTAAACCATCTTCGACGCCCAAAATATTTACGTTTTTATTTGCGCGTTCCAATTCATCATTTAGATTTTCGGCCGTATAAAGTCCTCGTAGGTCGGTCAGTAAAGAGTATTGTGGAACTCTTACAAAACTCCTTTTGGATATTGTTGACGGTTGCATTTCAAGTAAGATGGGTTCAGTCTCTTCAGCTTCATATTCTTCTTCAGCAGCTTCTTGAATTTCTTGAGGTCTATGTTTTTTGCGCTTATGATGATGTTTGGGCTTGTTCGTATTTTTTACCACAGCCGCCGCTTCGTTAATGGTTCGTTTCGGGATTATAGATTCCGCAGACGAACGTCGCCTGGGCCCATTTTCAGTCAAGTATTTGAAACCATAATCATCTTCTTCCTCTCCCTCTTCATCCAACAGTTCAGAATAAATACTTGTTCTCGAAAGTTGGAAAGACTTTTTCTTCAACATACTAGATCTCGTTTGTAATTCACTCGACATTCTACTCCACCTATCTTCATATCCAATTTCCTGTTCTTCTTCGCTTTCGTCTTCATATTTAATTTCATATTCTTCGCCTGACTCAGTCCAAGACGATAATGATGATGACGAGCGTTCTTTAACTGGAGGTACACTATTTATAATTTTTTGACATCTAGCTTCAATTGTTTGCAAATCGGGCCTTTGCAACTAATGTAATATAAAAGTTTCGTAAAATAAAAAAGTTCAAGTTTCATTTAAGGTAGCTTTTAAATGTAACTCAATTATTTAATTGATATGATACAAGTCCTTATCCGTTTGAGAAATATTCATAGAAGGTGAAACACACTTGATAAACATTATTCTCGAAGACTATATTTGTCAGTTCGTCTCCGTTAGAATCACAAGTGCAAGCTCAAAGTTTAGAAACAGTACATTTTTATATACTATTATATAAAATTAAAGGGAAAATGTTGTATCATGATGTCTACTGTAATACAGCTGAGATTGCATAAATTTTAGCATTTAGGGTATATATGATCTTCTTTTAGCTTAAAATCAAGCCACAAGCACATATGCCATTATTATCGATATGAAAGCATTCTTACTCAGCTGAATATAATATTTTCCTTGCGAATATTGGAAACGTTTTGTGGGGTTAAGACTATCTGGTAAGCACGACGTAACGGACGGTGTTTATAAGATACAAGTTTATTAAACCAAGTTTTTAAAAATGTTAATAACCTTGATACATAAAAAAACAACTTTCCAAACACTGTATAAAATTTTGAATCTTTTTCTACATAGGTTCTGAATATTTAAAAAACCATTTAAGGCGGTAAGAACGGAAATTCACTAAGTAGCATTATCATTTAGATTCGTCAAATACTTACATCCATATTCGATTTTGTTTCATCGGATGCGATTAATTCATCAATATCATAGTCTTGTGTCTTGACATTTTCTACAATTGTCATTCTCATCACTTCAGCGCTCGCATCAGGGGTGAATATTGAGTTGGAATCCTTATCTATTTCAACTAGTTCGAAAAATTTAGAGCCCTTCTTTTCTGAAACCTATTATAGGGCACAAAAATATTCCAAATCCTTTAGCCGCCCCGTGTACATCTTATGTTAACTTACACGAATTTTTAAACATTGCAAAATCATACATTCGCCACTAATAACGAAATACGTGTAGTCGGCTTGTCCCTTATCCTCGTAGTATATGGTTTCCAGTGGATTAAATTCTTTTAAAGAACTCACTTTACAAGCGCTAATAAGCTGTACAAATTTTTATTTCTTTTCAAATTCATTTTGATGTTTTGTTCTGTACTTACTTGTTCCTTTGAGAAAAATTTAAAATAATCCAAGGCCAATATTATCGCTTTTCGTTGATTCCACTGTTTTGTCATTTCATCTCGAAGTATTTCATCGAAATCGTCTTCGAACAAAACGAGTAGTTCAACAACATCTGTGAAAATGTTATTCACTTGTGATAAAAGTTTAAAATGTTAATGCGAACGAAAGCAATGTATATTTGGAATAGTTTCCGAGACTGGTACGAAAAATATGCCAAGTTTATGCAGGTTTGTGTGCATCATAAAAACAACACGAAAACACAAATTCTTTTCACCCCAAAAAAACCCCTCCACCGGATAAAATCCATAGATTAAAAATTTAATTTTTAAACAAAACAAAACTTAATTCTTCGTTGCTTTAAGTTATGAGTAACAGTAACCTATAAAACGTTATCAAAAACATCAAACACTCACTCATATTACCTGCACCGTTCTTTTGCAGTAAAACGTAAACGATAATCAAAGCTATTGCATCGTTAGAAAAGGAGATAGGAAGCACTTCATAATATTTATAATATAATTTATCCATTAGCGTGCGAAGTAAACCAAATGATATGTTTATCTGAACGATAACACAGCGGAATGGTTATTAACTACAGTATAGCGAAATCGTCGGCAAAAACGTTTACCCAATCAAAAATTTGTAAAGCAGAGCAACACTAATTATAGACGTGACGAGCACGTTAGTTAAGATGTAATGTACTCTGCAAAAAAAGGCTAAAATTTTATGGTCGGGCAAGACCACCTTTTATAATAAGCGGCTTACAATATAATCTAACTTTCTTCCGTCATAACACATCAGAAATTATACCTCGATGCCATATAAAAGATTACTTTTCACGAGGATCTTTACAGAGCGCTGTAATAATAGACCCATGTGGTGCAAGCTTACCATAGTAATTTTATACATCTTACTCAAAATTCTATTACAAGACCCTAACATGAAGACGCTTACATGAGAGAAGGTTCAAAAAATGACCCCATACATTAGCGAAATGAAATCATATTTAAATTGTTCAACACTTAATGTATCACGTATTTCAACCATCTTGAGCTTATTGAGGAGTTGTGTGTATTATGTTAATAAGCTTTTGGGCTAACATCTGAATGATAAGCGATTTTCCCGAGGCACTTTAAGACACGCCACACTGCGTCTTAACGGAGCCGTTATTCAAAAGCGAGCCCCATCATCAGTAAAATTTGTCGGTTGAATTGGAAGTAGTCGAGTCGAATAGCATATTTTACTATCAGAAAGATTCAAGTATTCTCGTAAAATACTTCACAGATTAACTTCAAAGATGTGCGATTTATCCGCATGAGTAGCCGAATAGATAAGAATTTCTACCTCCATCTCAAGTGTTCACGCCTTCAAAACCTGGCGTCCTGGAGGCATCACACTTACCGGATAGGCCAACATTCCGTGTATTTAAGCGTGAATTTAGGAGCCTCTTAAATTCAGCACAACAGCTGAGATAGATTTCACAACTGTTTTACAGGCGAATCTCCCCTTGAAGTAAAAAAGTAAGTTGAGAAATCTGCTGCTGGTACTGGCGACCTTCGGATACAGGAGCAGTGGGCTGAACCCAAAGAGCGCTTATTGTGAACATATTTCGTTCATTCAGGCGTAAAGTCGAGCCTCTCTTAAGTCTCTTTATTATTCTTTGTTAAAATCAGAGTGTCTCTGGAAGCTCTTAACGCCCGACTGTTCCTTATAAGAAAGTAAAAAAGTCCTTCATTATTTTGCTAAAGAGTTTCTATAATCTCGTATCGCGAGTGAGATTAAGCATCTGCTATCACGTTACACTTCAATTTCATTTATCAGCATTCCGTGTTTTCTTATCTTTCCAAGAGAATACCCTTTTAAAAAAAAAAAAATTTAAGCTGGCCTTTCGTAACTATCTGACTACTGGTAAATTTTTGTATTTGGATCAAAATTCAATTCGCAAACAATAAGAAATTCATTTATTCGACTCGCGCTAAGCAATTAATATAGACAAATAAAAAAGCTAGTAATTGCGCTTAGTGCAAACAGCTTAGTTCAATATAAAATAGAAATTAAAATAATTGAGCCTCGTTATTAGGAAATTGTCAACTTTAATCTTCAAAGGTAAATGAACCGCTTTACTTTTGATATTCTTGGTGTTTTCAGTGTTCCTTTCTTCTTTTCATAGCGTGACACAAAGCAATTTGATTTTTTTTTTATAAAAAGTTTTGATAACCAACAAATAAGACAATTGCAGTTCTTGGCCAATTATTTCTCTCTTTTAGTTTAATTAATGAATTTATTTCACACATTAGAGAGCCACCATCCAAAGCTAAGCGCTTGTGAAGCAAATGCTAACGACGTGATTATAACCCTTAACCTATCGATCATACGCTGCGACCAGTTCCCAGGTAAGTTTCCTCCCTTTGAGCACTACCCGCCTGTTTTCTTTAAGAAGCTGCTTGCAGTTATAAACTTGTCAAAAGAGACTAGAGAGAGATAGAGAGTTGGCGAATCTCTCCATTTTTAGTTGAATATTTCGATATCAAGGCGAGGTTTTTGCATAACTTTTTGTATGTGTGGATTATATCTGAAATGTTTTGCACCGTCAAGTTTTTTATATCGGTTTTTGTGCTCGTATAAATTTCGATTCAAAACCAGGTCATAAAGTCAAGCCGTTCAGGCAGGGTTGTATAAGTACACAACACCTCCGGTTCATAGAATTGTTTCAAGGTAAATCCTAGTGTATCCTTTTCTTCTCCGAGCTTGCTAATTAGCTAAAAAATTGCAGATTATCGGTCATATTTTAATCTGATGAAGCACTTCTGAAACCGGATCATTCCTAAACAAAAAGCTCGTCTCGAAACAAACTTAACGATTAAAACCGTCACAAAATTAAAAGCACTTTTGCTTACGATACACCAAACTAAAGGCAACTTAAAAGTTTGTAAAACCTCTTGCGCATAAGATAGCGTAAAGATATGGAGCTTTAAAAATGAAATACGATAAGAATCATCGATGTTAAACACCTACACAATTTGCGGCTAGATTTGCAGTCAAAAAATTTCTCAACATACGACATTTCGTCCTCATTCTGTATTCTATCCCACTTCCCAGAAATTAAATTATGAATCATGAGAATGCATATAATGTACCGGATGTTACGAATAGTACGTTGTACAAATGAAGAAAAACTTGCAACGCTTTAAGAATTACAAGAAGTTTCTATGTAGAAACTAAAATATCGTGAGCCTATAGTAGGTTGTGCGTGTAAGTATAATGTATCGATTGCGTTTAAAACAATCAATAATAGAAATGCCAATTGGTTATAAATTAATGTGCCACATATTAACAACAGTTTATGAAAAATAAAATTTTTGAATATTCATAAAGAAATTTAGAAACTTGAGAAAAGACGAAGCATTACAAGCACACTATGTCATTGCATTTTATTAAAAAAAAAAAGAAAAAAACTTACTTGTCGATACGCATGTTTGCGTTCTTGCACATCCTTCAATTAATTCAACTTCGCCTATAGTTTCGCCGGGACCGATTATCATCAAAACCTTACTCACCCAACTGTTAGTTACCTGAAATTATTTAAAGCATATTCATCATTTTTCTCTTCTGTATGCTAATATAAAATTATTTCGTGAGTTTCATTGATAGTACGTGATCATAAAACTTCTTGGAAACTTCCACTTCACCAGTTAATATAAAATACACTAAGGTTGGAGGATCGCCCTCCCTAATTAAAGTGCGCCCCTGTCCGATGACCATAAATTTTATCACTTTGCATAGACGAGCCCGAGCCTTCTGCAATTTAAATTAATAGATTGCGAAAAAAAATTAAATAACTTATATCCCCCTTACCGGTGTTATTTTGGCGAAGCATGTTAAGCTGGCTAGTAATGTTACCAGCTTTTTGCGCTCTTCAATAGTGCGCAGAGAGTAATGAATTCTCATTAATGATTTCTCCTGTTTATAAAATTACTAACTTTTACCTATGATTTGATGTTTGAAAAAATCCGACTTACCGCCATTGTTAATAAACCAATTTTGCGTGGAGGTCGCACCAACATGCTTACATTTTTCTTAACATTTAATGATAATTTTTGATCACCTGTATCTACCAACCAAATGCGGTTCAACGCCACGCTACGTATTAAATTCCGAAAACGCGTACGGGCCTGCTTGCGTTTCTTCATTTCCTCCGCATCGCGCGCACGTTTCGCCATTATGTTCGATAATTAAAATTTATTTTTCTCAGTATTCGTTATGTTTTCTTTTATTTTTGTTTAACAATGTGCGGTCAAGGGTAGTAAAAAAATATGTATGTACGCTTTGGTTATAAAAGGTTTCTATTAAATTCATTTTTTTTTTTTAATTGTCAATAAAGTGATAAGTCTTTCAGTTAATGGCAACGCATACTTTTATAAATTTTGTGCATAGAGTTTTCTATCAGTTCACCAACTAAGTCTATTCACCGTGGCACAATTAACTCGTTGGCAATCGATGGTGGAATCACCATTGTCGTCTCTTGGGAATCGTTTCTCCCAGGTTTTAGTTTCTTAGTTGCCCAGAAAAACCTTGTCTCTGCCCTCTCATTTTCTTTTTGGTTATATATGTTATTTTATCTTACATTCATTCGATATCGCTTCACCAAGCGATCGGTCTTGATTTTATTCCATGTCGACATGCGTAATATTTGGTAATAGGATGTCACTCCTCTATTTTGTGAATGCGTAAATGTGTCCATTTATGGTATAAGGTAAGTTTGTGTGGATGTATGCAACATCCAGAAGAACATAAAATAGGCCCCCCTTTTATATACCAATCAGATCACATTTTGCGTCGATCTACACTTAGCAAATCTACGATACCGTTAGATTTGTTTTTTTGTGTTTAACCTCCAGGTCGCAACTTTTGAGATGTTTTGATGAAATTTGGCACATCGACGACTCTTGACGCAAAGACGAACACTATTGAAAATTGTTCAAATAACACCATTTTTTCGACCACTCCCTATACGAATCCTTATTCTGAAAAATCATTATATGATAACTACTGCAATAAACGAAGTAGTCTGGGGTAATTAATAATGCCCCAACGCCCAACCAAGAAAGATGCATATATATATATATTTGATGGATTCTTCTGATTACAACTCATAGACTTATGCGACGTCAGTGGTGTCATATGGGGAGATATATATATGTTTCATTGACAATTCTCTCACTTACCATCTCAAAGCCTCAGGCCAACCTAACATTTTTTCTGAAAAGTCAGTTTTTCCAGTTGCTCACACACAATAATGGCTAAAACAATATATGTATATGTATATTCAGAATCAGCCGCTGCATGCGTACATGACACTCAATTACTCTCTATATGCTGGACTATGTTTGGTAGACGAATGATGTAAAATCGTGATTTCTTACTTTTTCACATACAAATAAAAATTTATCAAA